AAAGGCATTCGCCTATCTTTCCCTCAATAAACTGATACTGATACTGATAATTTTTTGAAAATAAGCAGAAAAAGTTGAGTCGATAGAGTTTGGAAAAAGAACGAATTAGTAGCACTTACCAAAAAGGACTAAATGCGTATTTATGTGACAAGAACGTACATGCAGCTACTGACTTCGTGTTTAGTCAAAGCTTCAATTTGCCCCTGGGTTTGAGTGCACATCAAAGGCAAGTGCAACAGGAAAAGTTCTGTGTTCGTGACCGGCTTTCCCCTTACTCTTAAACATTTTACAAAATATTACTTTTATAAACCAAACTACAAAAAAATATTCAACTCAAAACGATGACTGTAAGATTTAGGACAGCTGATGAAACATGCGTCGAGCATGCAGACCTTTGTAGAATCGTACTGACTTCTCTTGACATTTGAATGAATGTTCACTTTAATATCTATTACGTTAAAATTTATCGTCCGAGCTTAACAATCCCACGATGTTGGAAGTTTTTCATGGAAACCACTGGTCGTATGTCCTCATCATGTAGGTTTCATAAAAAAATTCTCTATTGAATTTTGCGTCGCAGTCATGAATGACAACGCCTGTGAGATTGTCTGCGAGAGAAATTTATCCATGGATGCTAACTTTTAGTGTAACCAAGGAGATCCAGTAAAATAGCCAGGTGATAAGTTGTAGTTCCCAAGAACCTGCATTGACGCAAAGCTTTTACTTTCCAAAGGATGTAACATTCTGAAAGAATGTGATTTAGCTTATACAGTACTTAAGTGGAAGATATCCAAACCTATGCATATTCTTCTAACATCGAAGTATCTGTAAAGTATTAGCCGACAAAATAGTTAAGTCTTTCTTTTGACAAATGATAATCAAAAGATTAACCGAAAGCAAACCGAAGATAAAACAAATATTATGAGTTTATATTCTTTATTTACTTCGAAGCGCCTCTCATCAAAACAATCACTTTATTATAAAAAATTAAAATGCAACTATCCTTGTCAGTAAACTCTCTTTCACGGTTCGGTTTTCTCGGAAAGATATGTTGATTAAATAAAGGGCAACCGGGTGCAGCATTCCTGAATAATATATATATATATATAACATGGAACCGGGGTGTTCATCCGATCTACCTGGTTAAGGCATATTCTTGTCCCGGAAGTGCCTTGAGGCTCGTACTTGAG